AGGAAGCTTCCTAAAAGAGGTGGCACCTGAATAGGGAATGGATATTGTAAGTATGGGATCAGCAACAGTCACCTGCTCAAGGCATGACTGGGATGTGCCCTTGAAAGACACTGCCCCCACAGAAGAAGGTAATGCGTGACCGAGTTTTTCCTATTTTTGACTTGAGTAAATAGCACTAGAACTTGCTATTTAGTTTTATTCAAAGTGAGAGGTGTTGTGCCATAGTGACTCCAAAACCAGGGAGCCTTGGTCTGGGGCCTCCCTCTGAACCATACTCCCTTTGTGACTCAAGGCAGACTTGTCTTAGATTTAAATCTCTCAATGCTGTTAGTGGTAGAGAAGGAATTTCCTCGCCAGTGAGTTTCCTATACCAATAGAATTACAGGTTCAGTCCCTCTCCCTGTTATTCAAGGTATACAGGCCAAACTGGGGACTCTTTAAAAACTGACTGAGCTTCAGACTGCCTATTTGCTATCCTATTGTATTTTCTCATTTGTTGTTGTTCACTTGTTTCAGTCACGTTTGACTCTTTGTGACCTCATTTGGGGTTTTCTTGGCAGAGATACTGGAGTAGTTTGTCATTTTCTTTTCCAGCTCATTTTATAGATGAGGAAACTGAGGCAAACAGGGTGACTTGCCCAGGATCCCCCAGCTAGTTAAGTGTCTGAGACTGGATTTGAACTCCTTTCTCGTACCTCTAAATTAACTTCAAATCTTGGCATATCTATCTGTATGTGTCGCTGGAAATGATTTGCCAATGTGACCAACAAATGACTGAGGATGAATTGAACTAGATGCATTCCTAAGGTCTCTTTGAAATCTGAGTTTGTCAACTCTAGTTTATCATGAATATTCTAGTAAGTAACTGAAAATTTAATTTTTATCTTTTATACTTTAGACAGAAATTGTTCACACACTAATTAGTGTTTTGGGAGAAGCTAACTTAAGAACTTCTGACACATCCAGTCAAATTGGTTTTGAATTTGTGGAGTATTTAACGTGATAAGATTATGTGAATCTTGCTATCAGACTTCATTTTTCCGTGTTGTATTTTATTATGAAATGAGATAATGTATGTAAGGCCCTTTGTAGACATTAAAGCACTCCATGAATGCGCGCCATCATCATCATCATCATCATCGTTTGCCGTTCAGTCAGTGAGTTAAGGATAATGCAGCTCTTCTTCCACTTGTATTTATATTGTTTCAGGTTGGAAACTAATAAAATGCGGTGGTGGAAATCATGTTTTACGATGCCTCAGAAACGTTAAACCTTCATTAAATGTCTCTTTATGGAGTGTGTGTTACGGCCACAGGGTGGCAGTCTGGTCCCAGTGAACCCACTCTTACTGGGCAGGAGTTGGTTCTGGAAAGTTTCATGGAGTATCATAGGCTACATAGGAGTCTTCTTTGCCTCTCTTTGTATCCCCAGCACTCGACACAGTGCCCGGCACATAGTAGGTACTTAATAAATGTTTATTAACTGACAGACTCTAGCACAGTGAGTGGGTCTCCTTTGCTGAATTGAAGGAAGGACGTGGACCAGGATCCCACAGGATGGACAGGCTTGGAGAGGCAGTAATCAGCATCACTGGAGGGAACTTCTGAATCAGTGAGATAGATACACTCAAGTGTAGCTATCTAAAATAGATCCTGTTTAAGGCTTTTTTTCCCCCATAAATGGAGTTTATTAAAGAATCCATTATCTTATAATTCCAATTTGGAAACAGAAATAGGTAGAACCTGTCAGTTATTTACTTTGAGAGCAGTTGCATTCCAGTGTTACCTAACAACCTGATACAGGTCACTCTCGAAATATACAGCTTTTCACTTAGAGCATTATTTCTCATTGCCATTATGAAGCATACAGTTTATACTATGACATCAGTATTATAAAAATGAACAGTTTTTGAAAACTCTTATAAACTGATGAAGAAGGAAGTGAGTAGAACCAGAACAATCATACAATAACAACTGTCCAAAACAAACAACTTGGAAAGCTGTAAGAACCATGATCAAAATAGTGACCATTCATGATTCCAGAGAATTGATGATGAAACATGCTCTCTATGACAGATTTAGGGTGCCACATGAGACATATTTTTCTGTATGCAATTGACGGAATTTATTTTGCTTGACTGTGCATATTAATTAGGAGAAATTTGTTTTTCTTTTTTAATGGGGTAGGAGTGGAAGGGAGAGAAAATAGATGTCTTTTTTTTTTTAAATAGAGAAGTTGGGGGAGTGGTACAGATGTGAAATGCTGTGTGCACTTTATGAAGTCACTGTATTATTAGTTTTACTTAACTGTTTTACTTTGTTACAAGAGACCTCTCAAGAAATGGGAGTAATCTGTAAATATTAGTAATGTAAAAACAAAACACAGCAATGAAACTTAAAAGAAAGAAACATAATGAGAAGATTAGAAAACTTTAGGAGATAGGAAAATAAAATTGTAAATTACTAGTTTTTTTCATAACTTTCTTATGATTTCAATAAAGAAATATTGAGGTAAGCTTTGTGTAAATAGCACAGTGATTCATTTTAAACCATATTTTCCAGTTATTATTGCTGCTCCTTATGCAAAACATATTGTGATCCTAACAAGACTAATTTTTTTTGGTGGCCTTTCTCATTGTGTATATTTGTATGGTTGTACTATGTAGGAATACATAAAAAAATACATGATACACATAGAGATTCTATTGATATGATTTCATCATCGTGTGGAAACTCTTTGCAGTGATGCAGATTATAGCTTTTTTACATCTTAATGCCTGTGGCTGTGGTTGAAGTAAATTTTAGTACCTAGTGGCCAGCCTTTTAGGGGATGCATTCTCTAGTGAGTGCTTGAGTTTCCCTCAAGGTGTATTTGTACAATCACCTGCTATAAAGTGCAGCTATGAGAAATGAAGTCTCATACATGTGTGTTACATTGGGTGGATTCTAGGTATAATGTATGTAGTGGAATTTCACTGTTTTAGAAAGGCCAGGGAATGGGGAATTCTGTTGATTGATAATTTTGGTTAAATGAACATATAAATATATAAATCATAAGTGGCTTGCAAATTTCCAAACAATTACTGAATTGAATTATTGAATCCCATTATACTGAATAGAACATGATCTCTAGTGTAGAGAGCATTTGACATGAGCGTTAGGTGTCACTGAGTACTGTAGATAGAATCAGTGTGGGAGGTTGGGCCATTAAAGTTTACTTAATACCAGGGTGGTCAGGCAAGGAAGGTTTTCAAGAGGAGGTGGAATCTGAATTTTTTTTTTAAGGAACAAGTGTTTTAGCAGGTGGAGAGAAGGGGAAAGGGCACTTGAAACAGGTGGAATAGATGAGAGAAAGTACAGCGATGGGAAAGCTCAGGTGTGCTGATTGCACTAATAGGTTCCCTTGGCTGCAGGAGAGCTGGTGTGAAGGTGAGTGGGTTAATGAGAGGAAGTTAGGGTTGGGTGGGATTCTGGAAGTTGTTTAAAATGCTGGATTAAGGAGTTCGCGTGTTAAAGTGTAGACAATAAAGAAATTTGATGAGCCTGCTTTGGTCATGTGAGTGATTCTTAGGGTAAGCTCCTGTCCTGACAATTGTGACTTTCATATGTTAATCTTATTGCAACAAATAATAACTCAAAGGATATTTCATTCATCTTGATTTTTGCTGTTTCCATCTTCTGACTTTATTGTTACTGTTTTAGTAAAGGACCTTCTTTAGTGTGGCATAGAGCAAATCATTTTCACGGAATAATCCACTCAACAGTTTGCTTGTTGGAAAGTGAGGTTCCTCTTCTCATTTATGTCCAAAGATTTTCAGGGAATTGCAGTTTTCTTAAAGAAGAGGAAGAGGTTGTTTGGGGACATATGTGTATAGAAAGAAATGCTTGTTCCATCATTCTTTGCTTAAGTTAACTGATGCATATCATTGCTGACAAATTTGGTTCCTGCTCTTCGGGCAGAAGGCTAGCTTCTGCCTCTAGCCTTATTTACTTTTCAGTTCTGATGATGTCCTTAACAGCTGTCATCATTATGCTGCATTGCTTCTAGCTGTAGTGGAAGGCAGTGGCAGCCTGCTTTAAGCAGTTGAACCTTTACCTTGACCACTTGTGGGATGTTTGGAAGGGTCCTGATAAACATGGTTAGAGCTAAGTGTGAGGTGATATGGATTATAACTAAAAGGCAAATATTGACCTTTAATCGAAGCTGTTATCTAGGACAAGAGCTAGCAGCTATTTCGATAGGAGCCAGCTCTTTAAATAAGGGACAGGTGGCCTGCTGCTTCCGAGCCCAATCTGTGCTGCCACATTGATTAGCACTGTTTGTTGTTCTACTTACCCTTTTGTTTTTAGGTTAGATTATGGGATTCCCAGGTGCTCTGTAAACCAAGGTGGTTAAGTAGGCAGTGCTGAGGCAGTGGAAAACACCTAGATTCTGAAACTGAGCAAATGCTTGACTACAGGACAGCCCTCTGACTCACCTACCACCTAAGTGAGCCTCATAAATTTTGGCTTGGCTTGGCTTGGACTAATGCTGCAATTTCCTGTATTCTCTGAAATTGTTGCCTTTGGTGGAATAACTTTGAATGATGATGTAGTTCCTAGTAATGCAACTAATGTAAATTTCATCAGGTCTCTGGTTTTCTTACATTTTCTATTTCTAGATTTTTTTTATATCTTAAGAAAAATTCACCAATTTTGAAAAATTCTTTTCCCCTTTAGAAAAAAAAAAAAAGAAAGACCATACAGACAGAGAACCTGGGTTTGAATCCTGTATCTCCTAGTATCACTTGTGTGATCTTGGGCATATTGCTTAATTTCTTTCTGGCCTCAGTTTCTTTCAGTAAAATGAGGGAGTTAAATCTCTAAGCTCTTTTCCAGCTCTGTATCTTATGAATTAGCCCCTTAAATATGTTGTTTGGTTCTGACTAGTCTAGCATTCCTGCTTGCTCAACATTTCCAGAAGATGTCAGTGTATGATTGTATTTGAATTTTTTATTCCAGCATCTGGGCTAATAGAAAGTGTGGTGCACCCTGGACCTTCCCTCAGAAGTGGAGAAAGCAGTCAGATCCAGTTACAAGTGAATGAGCAGGTTTCTGAGGAAGAAGCTCAAGAACTAAGACAGGTAATAACAAAGTCCAAAATGGTAGTTGGAATATTGACAGCATTTTTCTCATACTTTCATTTTTTCCTTCTTCCTAAATAACACCGTATGCTTTTTTCCCCTTTAAAAGAAACATACCTTGTAAGTTCATTATGATAATTCTCCATGGAGATAAGGCAGAATATGGGTCTTAATTAAAATTTCTTAAAAATTTTTGTGTTTTTTGTGTTCTTATCCAGGGCTTTTACTCTTAAGGACCTCAGGGACTTTTTAGCAGTCAGCAAACATTTATTAAATTCCTATTATGTGCTATTTTTTAATTTTTGAAAGTTTGTATCAAATGTAGAAATTATAAATATTTGATTAAAAGTATCATCACAGAACTATATAACAAGATGTATACACACATGTGTGCATGCTCATACACGTAATACATATACATGTATGCTTATTACACAAGAATATATAAGTTATTGTGCATGCATGGGTGTTCATATATGTATGTATACACACATACACAGATGCATATACACACATGTACACATACACATATGCTTATAGAATTCTTTACCAAGTTCATGTTGCCACCAGTCTTAAGGTTTTATGGTGCTGGTTTTTTCTTCTTCAACTTCAGTGTTTGTTTTTAATAATGCTGATCATATTGTGTTTCCTAAGCTTTTTGGGACTCAAATCTATCCTTTTTCATTAAAAAAGAAAAGCATTCATCTTTGCAAAGAAATATTTTAAATGTGTCACTGCCTTCTTTCTTTCCTGGTCTTTGTTGTGCCTACTTGGTTTTGGTGATGACAGCACAAAAAAATACTGCTCTCTGTTCTCCAACTACTATGTTCCACTAGGGCATTTAATCACTTCCTTTGATATGCTCGTTGAGTCCAAAACAAACTTGCTGTAGCTATTGTTTGCTTTGGGGTTTACTAGGAACTTTAGAAGTACTGTAGATGCAAACTTACTAAATGTTACTCTTGACCATTCTTTAAAGGGCTTACAAAAACCCTCGGCTGTTTACAGGCTGGTAGGATTTGAGTATCTCTTTTCCCCCTCATTTATCTCAGATGAAAACATTTGTAGTCAATACATCCTGTCCTGTGTCTAGTAGTGGTTACATGTAGGCTGAACTAGGAGCTAGGGCTGTCTTGATTGAAAAGGTAAAGATTTCACCTGTAAGGTGTGATTTTTAATGTTATCACTCAATATTGTATACCTTCTCCATGTGGGGTACTCTGCTAGGTGTTGGGAGTATAGAGTTGAAAAATGACAATCTTCTTATTCAAGCAGTTTATAATCTCAAAGAGTAATAAAATAAGTACACCAAGAAGTATGATACGCAGTAGAATGTAATGGACAAAGAAGATATCTAGACAGATTGTTCTAGGAACAGTTGATAAGGGAGAGAACCCTTTCAACTTGAGAACTCAGGAAAAACTTCATAGAGGAGGTAGCATTTGAGTTAGGGTTTTAAGGAATGCGATTTCAACAGGGGGTGATGAGGAAGGGTCTGCCAAGCTTGGGAGGGCAGCTTGCACAGCTGTGGAAGTAGGGAAGTGCAAGATGAGATCAGCAGACACCTAAGAGTCCAGTTTGGCTAGCCATTGAGAGCTGCTGGGTTTTTGGAGATCTCTAAGAAACCAGTCTGAGTAGTTTGCTCAGCCCAGTTCAGCTGGGAGGAAAAACTAGAGTAGTAAAGACAATGTAAAAACGGAGAGGGAAGGATGAAAAGAAGCATTTAGTGCCTACTGTGTACCAGACACTATGCTAAGTGCTTTAACAAATATTTCCTCTTTTGAAGTGAAGAGGATGAGAATAACTGTCAAAGCAAAACAACAACAACAACAAAAAAAAACAACTCAGTGGAAGATGCTGATAGGAATGCCCAAGTGATGGGGGGACAGTGAAGGAAAATAGTTAATGGACTTACAATGAGATGACTCAGAATGAAAAATAGACCTGTTTCCAAAACATCTGAAAGAGTTCCTTTTTTTTGTGCAAGATGGAATATAGAACCCAGGTTTATAAGAGCAGAAGATTTAAATAGGCTGGAGAAAAAGCTACAATATCACCTGAGATGCCAATGTAATATAGCTTCATAGTCTAGCTACTTGGTAGCTTGTACCTATGTAGGAGGTAACTAGCAACAGCTCCTGAATAAGTGTCAAACAATTAAAGCAAAACTGAGAAGACTGATAGCAGAGAGAAAGACCCACAGTGTGGAGTGTATAGTAGTCACAAATCCTGCCTTTCCTGCCCAAAGTGTAAGGCATAGGGACCATATAGGTCCCTAGGAAGAGTAATGGTCCTATTGAAGATTGGGGTGGGCAGAGGACTCTTGACTTCCCTATGGGCCTCTCTCCTTTAACATATGATAAAATTTATTTATAGAAATAAAACTTTTTTTTATGTTTTGAAGCCTTGTGAACCTGCATGCTTGTAATGGAAGTTGGTGACTACCCTTAGGGAAATGCTGGATATTTATATTCCCAGGCTGCTCCTAGGTAGGGTCCGTGATCCATGTAATTGAGAGGTATAACCATACCTGAACTTCTTCTTTCAGGAGAGAGAGTTTCTGACTCAAGAGTAACTTGCATATTTATATAAAGGTATATTTATATAAAGGGTACCTTATGTTAGATGATAGACAGTTATTGCTACTATGATTCATGCTTATTTACCTAGCTATGAAGAATTAAGAGAATTTAGTTAAATGGAGAAGAGAAGAAATAGAAGTAAAGGAACCTCCTTTATTATTCCTCTGTGACTTTTTAAGAAATAATAAATTTTCTATAACGAAAAACAAATTTTAAAAATATGGAATCCTTGATTTATTTTTAGGAAGGAATGTTTTGTAGGACAGTGTAATTGTAGCTTAAAAATGAGTGTGAAGGGGCTCCATTCTTAGGGGAAACAAACACAAAAGGAAATCTCACTGCACTCAGCTGTAGCTTTGGTTGCAGACGATATTCAACTTAGTACGTTGCAGCTAGAAGTCTTCGTGGTCTTAAATTGCAATTGGGAGTTTAAGTGAAAGGATTTGCCATGATTTCACCAGGGGACATTCATGGTAAGTGTAGTATTTTGTGGTTATCTGGGCCAGGTGCCAGGAGCTGTGCTGTATAGGTATGCAGCAGCTTGCTGAGTTCCTGTGGTCTATGTCTGAGCCTCTGTCTACTGGATAACGATGGCTGTCGTAATGTCACTGGGTGTGGGAAGGGCTAGGACGGTATTAGCTGAAGGGCTGTGGTTAAGGAGGCTAGGAGAGGAATTTTATTCACTAGATTTGGTTTGGCAGAATCACTTTAATAGTTGCTAATGTCTGATATGTTAACATTGTCTGTTAGAGCTATGGCCCTTTTGTTTATTGGCCCTTTTGTTTATTAACCATTTTGTAATGGCGACCGAATTTTGAAATGCAAAACTTTTTGCCTTTTTGGGGTTCTTCAAAGTGACTTTTTGTTTTATATAATACTTTAAAAAAAACAACCCTCAATTTCTTTGTCTGTTCTTATGATGGTATTTTAATGTTCATCTCCTTTTAACTGGGGTGGAATTAGATGGAAAAATACTGCTGGGATAAGGTAATGGTTTTGTTGAGGACTTACTCGATTGTGTGGGTTAGGAAAACTCATAGAAATTAGAGATAGCAAAACCTTTTAGTTTAGCCATTGTCACTTGGCACTTGTCCAAGCTCTTAGAGAAATCAGCAACAAGGCTGAAAGGAATTTAATAACTTTGGCCTTTTCCTAGTAGCTTTTTTGCTAGGGTTTTCTTAGACATTCGTGATAGAAAGGGGTGTGAAATGGCATATTCTAATGTGTGGGTGGGCCAATAGGACATTTTGTGGGCTGGTGGTTTTTGCTTTTTAAACCTCTTTGTTTCACTGTATTAGGACATTTAATAAACCTAAAATATGATTGGTTTGTACAGTACCAACACAGCTGGCTGATGTAGTCAGGTTAGTTGAATATATAGTTATCTCATGGTGTACCAAAAGCCATTTGGCTCAAAAATTCATGTAGACATAAATAGGCACTATGAATGAGAAGAAACAAAACATGCCCAATTATCTCTAAAAAAATTGCAAGACATTGAAATATTTTGAAATACGTTGATTATTGTTTGATGGAATGTGTGATTTCTAACAGTTATATTAAATCTTTCAGAAATATAAGTGGAAGGAAGCTAGAGGAGCGATCTGGTTACCTTGTCTTTAGGTAGTAATAACTCCCATTTCTCTAGCAGCTTAAAGTTGACAGAACACTTAATTCCTATAAGGTGAGTAGTACAGGTATTCTTTTCTTCACTTTACTGATGAGAAAACTGACTTAAAATTTACTCTTTGCCATGCCACTTCCTCTGCCACCATCACCAATACTGTCACCACCAGCATCAGCATTCTCTACCTCCTCTTCATCCTCATATTTGCAGTAAGCGTGAGCTTACAGAAGAGGGGCTTAGAGCCTGATACTTTTATTTATTTACAAATGCAGTTATTTTATCCACCTGCCCAGTAACATTAAGTATAAAAGAATAATAGCAGTTAGATAATTGTCCCAGAACTATTTCTATCTGAACCCCATTGAAAAATAGAATAATGAGATAATGATAATAGTAATACCTTATTATTGATAATACTATTTTACAATTTAAAAAGTATCTTCTCAGGGTAGTGAGGTGGCGCAGTGGATAGAGCACTGGCCCTGAAGTCAGGAGGACCTGAGTTCAAATCTGGCCTCAGACCAGACACTTGACACTTACTAGCTGTGTGACCCTGGGCAAGTCACTTAACCCCAATTGCCTAAAAAAAAGTAAAAATAAAAAAATAAAAAGTATCTTCTCACTGTGGTCTTGTGAGGTGAGTTTCATAATATTCCCATTTTATAGATGAGGAAACTGAGGCCCAGAGAAAGTGACTTACATATAGTTGTTCTGTGCCCAAGTCCTGTATTCTTTCTACTTTATCACTCAGCCTCCCTTAAACCATTCTTTTTTTTTAAAACCATACTTAA